AAGGATTCGAGGGATACGAGGGACACTAAGGATACTGCTTCGAAAGCCTCGATTTCTGTCCGAGGCAGAAGAATTTTGTCTAGCTGGCCATGTCTGGTCATGTGGGGGAGTGTGCTTGAGTATTTGTGCGAACATAATCTGGCTATCACACAGACACGTATCTCAGATTTAATGGTCAACCAAAGGCAATTTGGCAAATTATTAGAAAATCATTGTGTCACTTTATGTGCCGGACAAGGAAATATGAGTGCCTGTGGCTCCAGGCTCCGAATCAGGATGCCACTACCACTTCAGTGTCTGTCAGCCACACAATTTGCTGGGGCTGTTGACCCAGAGTGGAATTGCTTTTCGCATCACACTACTACTATATTAACCATAAGTAATAATTTAGCTCGAGAGCAGGCAAAAATGAGACGGGTAGTTTGATCGAACAAAGAAGAGCGGGGGTCGGGGTCAAACAATTTATGCGCAGTTATTGAAAAAGTTTTTCAATTTCGCAAAAAGCCTTGCCAGAACCAAACTAAGCCACAACAAAGGGGTTAAAAATATGAGTAAGATAATAAAAATGAGTGCACCCCCTGCCACTTTGAAAGGCCTTCCTTCTTCTTTTTTTTTCTTTATCAGAAACATTTTTTTCAGTCGTACTCAAGGTCTCTGGAAAGATAAGCTGCTGCGAGCAAAACCGAAATTGGGCTACCAGAATACCAGAATAAAGCCCAAGACGAAGTCAAGCAAGCGGCAAGCACACAAACACCCCGAGAACCCAAAATAAAATATACAAAAAATAGAAAGAAACGGAACAAAAAGCGACCAAATAAACATACACAAGAGGCCCAGATCCGTTGTGGCGGCCCTGAGCCTTCAGCGATTTTTCACAACACAATTTAACAAATAAAAGCGGGAGGCGAACTACAAAAAAGAATAAATAAGGAGCAAAAACAAAAACTTGCCTGAAAAGACCCACACAAATAAAACAATAAAAGCCCCACACACTCACATACACACACACACACACACATTCTCTGACAAGAAGAACAACAACAAGTTTATTACAGATTTTACTTATGTGTTTTTGGTTGCTTGGGTGGGTTTCCCGTGTGTGGGAAAAGGGGGGGGTGGCAATTTTCCCGGAATGGGTGGTGCCCATTTTACCGCAGGGCATTAATAAGGCGCACAACATGGCGGCGGAATGCGAGCGAAAGTCAATGACATGTGCTCCCTGGAAATCCCCCGCTGATGGGAATGACAAATCTCGTTCATATTAGAGGCCTCATATATTTTCAAGAATTACACAAACTTGTATATTGCCAGGCCACTCATATTTCTGTTTTTGGGACACTCTCTAGGCCATTTTGAAAGAATACTTGAATCTGAATCCAAAACTAGCTGCTCATCTTAGTTATTTAGCATCGATACATTTTCTTTAATTTTAAACAATAATTTCTTTAAGTATCTTTTCGTTGTTCCTACTCTCCTCTCTTATCCAATACTAAAATAAAATCAAAGACTTCGAGTCCTCTTTACCTTTCAATAAATACCCATAAAGAAGCTTTTAAACTTTTCTGCGAAACACGAATAGGAAACCGATTTCAAGGATTCTGAGTCGGCCTACACAAAATCCATGGCCAGCACCTCAACAGATTGCTCCGTTGTTTGTGATCAATATGGTTTCACTTCCTCCCACTTTGTCTGCCAGTATTTTAGTCTGTCGGGCCGACGAACTGAACCGAACTGAACTGATGCTGCTGCCAAATTGCCAGCTCGTTTAGACTGACAGTCGAAAGCCAGAAATAAACTTTAATTTGAAAAGTTTTATGCGCTGCAAATAAAAGCAAATCGATGACTGAAAATCGACCGAGTGTCGTGGCAAATTGTTCGCCAAGTGTTGGACATTTTGCTTAAAGATGCCAGACCTACAAAGCAGTTTAAGTCCCACATGCATATCCACGTGCCCGCACGTGCCTGACATTGACACAGATGCTGGGTTGCAGGGGTTTTCCTCCCAGGATAACTCGCTGACTCGCTGAATTGCCCAGACTGTACACTTTGATAAAATCTGCAATTTAATTTACTGAAGATTACAATTCGTTTCAATAAAATGTGTAAGATTGAACTGCAATTAATCACATGGCCGTGTTTAGTAATTAAATATAAATTATTTCGAAATCTACGAATAATTCTGAAGTTCACCAGATTTAGAAGCATTTCTCTGAATGTATCACCGCACCAGCATTGAAAGCATGTTGTTCACACAAGGCGAACTCTATGAAGCCAAGGGTAAAGCGGAAGTTTATTAAAACTGCTGCAAACAAAGGCGCAAAAGAGATGGGATGAAAAATAAAAAACAATGGGGTAAATGCATTGGAGAAAAGCGCAGGAAGCGCACTTAAACAATAAACATGCCGTTCGTGCTGGGCAAAAAAGAAAAGATCCGGGCACAAAGACACCGCTCCGGTCGGCACTAACATTTCCATGCAAATAAAGAGCAGAGCGCGATGGAGAAGTAAATGCAGCGCATTACGTATACGCCAGCGTGTCTGGCAAAATGCAACCAGCCGCGACGGGCATAGATACAATTTTGTGTGTGTTTTGTTGCCCCATTGAGCGCAGCAGTTAAGCAAGGAGCAAAAGGAAAAAGCACTGACTCAGCCACTCGATGAAATGCAATGCCATGTCCTTGCTGTCCTTGGTGTCCTTGTCCCGTCAAATGCATCTGCATCCGTTGATAAAGCCATGTTGGCTTCGGATCCCGATTCGGATTCGGATTCGCATTCAAGTTCGGGTTCGGGGGCATCTAAATACGTTTAAAATAAATCACTGACGTACGCCGCGTTGCTTGGGAAAAAAAGGGGAAGGCGGGGATGCGAAATCCAATTTCAGCACAGCAGTGAGTGCGCCTTGGATTTTATTTAAGCAGCTCGCTTTTTATATCCTTGCAGGGGGTATAAGGTTATTCACCAGATGTTTGCAATGCACTACAGGCAAAGGTTTTAAGAATGTACTAAAATGATTAATGAGAAACTTCAAACACTTGCTTTCTCTGCAGCAAAATTACCATGTCTCGCTGATAAGAATTTCTGTCTTAATAAAAAAGAGAATATGCTACTCAGCTTTTAGAAGTTTCCGTACTTTCACGTTTGTGTGCTGTATTTTTTTGGTCCTGGCCAAAGTTTGTGATCTCTTTTATGCAATCTTGGCATTTGCATCCTCGAATAATGTACTTCAGCATTGCAGCACTGCAAGCTATTTGCTTTGTGCAGAGCATTTGATTAACTAAGAAAATATGCACTGGGAAACTAACTAGCACAAAGGAAAAAAACAAGGGGGAGCGAGAGTCTGTCATATAAATATGCAATAAACCCGATGACAAATTCGTACAAACAACCCTCGCTAATGTCTGATAATAAAATACAGCCGAGAAGTACGGGAAAAATATGGCACAGCAATTTGCAAATTATTTTCAAGCTGGCATAAAATAAACTGACAGGCACCCTTGGAATCCCATTGCTCCCCTCAAATAAAGGACACCATCGCCCCCTGAGAAATTGTGGGATGCGTCAATCTTCTCCTGGCAAACAGACAGCTCACGTTGTTGCTGCTGGTGCTGCTGTTGATATTTCCCCTGTTTGTTGTTGGTTTTTGAAATCGACTTTCATGTCAATTGACTTGCGTACATCTGCCTGTCGGAATATCTGACTGAATTGGAAGTCCGGGGGTGTTGCGTATTACGTTTGAGAGGGTTGGGTGCCTGAATGTCGCCAAACTTATGGCCCAAATTTTACTGTTATGTAAGCAAACGGCAGCAGATGAAATGAAACGCCAGCTCCCTGATGATATTTGTCAATAAATTTAACGTAAACCAGCCAGAGCCTTCTATTTGTATATATGTACGAGTCGCTGAATGTGGTTCAACATTTTTGGGTGTAATGGCAAGGAAACCATCTACAAATAAAGCTTACGTATATATTGATATATTTTTCTTAAACTGGTATGCACGTTAGGATCTTAATCATGACATAATATAAAATTACCTAAAATTGTTTAACCATTTGAATGAATTTTTGTATTTGATGTAACCTTCAATGCATTCTAAAGTGTTTTAATAAATAACATTTTACTCGTTGGAGAAAACCCCCTTATATAAAAATCTTTTAATTATCTATAAAGCTTTCACCCTTTAAGAACCCCCACTGCAATCATAAAATCGTTTTAAAACTTTCCAATCGCCAATCGAAGCCATCAATCAATGCACCGCAATCTTGCGAAACCAGTTATTATAGCTCGCTGGCGGGTTATCAAAATGCCATGCTCGACTTTAAGTAGACATTGACAAATTAATTTGCCAGGCTCGGGTTGTCCGAGTCCCAAAAAAAAAAAAAAAGAGGAAGCCGCAATCCAATCCACTCGGGAGGGAAGAAGAAGAAGACAAGAGAGGGCGGAAAACGTAGCATACATTCGAGCGTCATTAGGCCGGCAATGAGTAAATCAAATTTGCGTCGTTTTGGGGCCAGCTGCTGTGGGTTTGTCAGTTGACAGTTGGGTCGGAGGCTCGGTGGCTCGGTGGCCTTCCTGTCGCTTGTCTACGCCGGAAATGAAATGACCCAGTTAAATGATTTATGGCAAGCACACACACATACACACAAACACACACACGATGGCTGGGGTTTATTACCGGGGCTTAGTGGCAAGCGGCCGACAGGATTGGCGCATTTCCACATCAGCCTGTATCTTAAAAACCGTGTGGCGTGTTGAAATTATAATTTCATTAGCTGCAATCAACATAAAAATAACACTAAAGGCAACTGCAAAAGCGCTCCGAAGTCGTAAAGCCAAAGTAGAAATTAAAATGCGATGAAAAGAAAGGAAAGGAAAGAAAAGCGGGGAGAAAGATATTTAAAAGCAAGTTTTACCTTTGCCACCTCTTGCATTTCACACAACACACACCGTCAGTTGAACAGCAAAAGCGTAATTACAAGCAATTTTTTTACGTTTTATTACAGATTTTAAGCACGCGACGACAACAACGCCGGGGGAGCACTTGGCATTGTAATGTGACAACGACAACAGTTGGCTAAAAGCAACAAGACCAAAACGAAGCGGGAATGCTCGCTTTTTAATTGACATTTGCTCGAGTTGAGTTGCGTTTTGTTCAACGGCAATTAGCATCACCGGAAAATAAGGGGAAAAAACAACAATAAAAAAAAGCAGAAAACACAAAGGAGCGCAATTAAAATTGTAAAACAATTGCCAAAGCGTTGAATTGAAAGGGGGAGAAACAGAAACAATAACAGACGACCCGGAATAGAATGATCAAGTTGATTTAATTAAAAATTCAGCATCTGTGTGCAATGGAATTCGAGCACGCAGCCTGAGCAATGGCCGCCGGACCGGAAGCGGAAACGCAGCCATTGCCATTGCCCTCGGGCAGCTACCGCCGCCGCCTCTGACTGCCGCCGACACTTGTCACATGTTTGGCCAAAAAGGCGCGCACGTGACGCCCCTTTTTGGTGAGACCGATGAGCGAACGAACGAACGAACGGATGAACGAGGAAATGAATAAGCCAGCAGCCATATTCAAAATTGAACGTTAAACGTTCGCACGTACCGAGCATAAATTCCAAGTGAAATAAAAGCCAGCCAAAAAGGGAGAAAAACGTACACCTCCCCCCATTTAAACCAAAAAAAAGTAAGAGGAAAGAGAAAATGGTGAAAATCGTGAACGAACACTGTGATCTAGGCCTGGCCCTTCTGCTGGTCTGGACATGGCTAACAAGGCTGGTGGTTTCGGGCCAACTGCTTGAAATACCGACCTCATCCCCATCCTCATCCCGTTTGGCCGCCGAAAGGGAGGAGCGGCAGATATCCCTGCAGGATGTGGGCCTCAGCTACCAGAGCATCCACCGAATGCTGAGGGACGAGAACGAACCGGCGAGCTTTCGGGGGAGCTGCGCTACCAACAGAAGCGCCACAAAAGGGAGCTGGAGCTAAATGCCCCCGCGAACAAGCTAAATCTCACCCACCGCGACTTGAGGACCTTCAACAGCAGCGATGGAAAGTGGAAGGGCGACTTCCAGGCGATCACCGCCATGGATCTGAGCAGCAATCAACTGAAGGGTCTTAGCCTGGACAAGTTTAATCAGCTGAAGCAGCTGGACGTTAGCAATAATTCCCTGGAGATAACTCCATTCAGTTTGGCTGACAGCAACAACTCACTTTTCCTGGCGACACTGGATCTTTCCTGCAATAAATTCAGACAAATTTCCTCGAGCTTCTTTGTTCAGCGTCAGCCTCAGCTTAAGAATCTTAACTTGGCTCACAATCATTTGCTTAACATTTCCCGGGAATCCTTCTACAACTTGCTAGAGCTACAAACGCTCATTCTCAGTCACAACAACATTTCGGATATTGACTACGAGACATTTCTGGCTCTTCCGAATCTGCAACACCTGGACTTATCCTATAACCGATTGAGTGGATCTGCAATACGAGCTTTGCAGGGCATTCCGGATCTAGTGAGTCTTTCGATTGCCTACAATCCGGAAGTGGGAGCAGCAATGCAGGAGTTCGTGGCATCGTGGAGTCTCAAGGAGTTGGATGCTAGTGGCACTGGATTGTGTCAGGTGCCAGCAGCTTTGGCCCAATCTGTGAGGACTCTCAAGCTATCCGACAACTGGCTCAAGGTAAGTTCAGATACTTGGAGTTATTATTTGTAAAAGCAATTGTAAGATATCGAGTTATTAAGTTGCAACAGCGATTCGAATTCGAATTTGTGACCAATTTTATTTTATATTATATTTTCAAAATTAGAACTGCTATGATGATATTTTAGTAAATTTTCCTGAACTCCCTATTTCTGTGCTCCCTCCATGCACAAATATAAATAGCCGCTCTTTATTTTTACTTAGAAAGCTTGGACAAATGCGAGTGGAACTGCTTTGATCAATAAATTACCGCCTTGTGGAAGCCAATGAACCGCAATTCGACGCATTTGCCGGCAATTAACGGCACATTCCCGACAGACACTTGCCATCTTTGTCCTTGGCTTCAGATTCAGTCGTCGGATCCTGCATCCTGCAGGATAGCTCCATTATGATGGGCTCCCTTTGCCGCAGCCGCCATTAATTAGCATCTGTTATGTGGCCCCTGCGTCGCTGCGTGCTTGAGTGCGTTTTCCGTTGCCCCTCGACTTTTCCTCCCCCACCGCCCACAGTTTTCCGCCCAACCAGCCAACAGTGGAGCAACCGCAAGGCAATCCCACCACGCGTATGATTTACACTTTGTTATTTTTAAATTTCTGCCCCCGCCATTTTGTGCGGCTCTCTTTTACTTCCGCCTTTGGTGCGGAAGCGGAAAGAAGAAGAAAAAGCAGATGGGTGGGTAAAAGCATTTTATGTGGTGTTAATTTTAGCATTGGGAGCTATTACGCAAAAACAGGAAATTTTTATTATTGATTTTTTCGATTTTGCTGGCTGAGGTTTCAGGGCCAAAAAGTTTGTGCCAACATATAAATATTAAATATCCACATTTTAATTACTCATGCAATTAAAGAATATTTTGTACATAAACCGATAAACCGATTAATTAAAATAATTGAAATAGTTATTTGTGTGTACTGGAAATAAATTATAATGTACAAGTATAAATTTGTAAATATTTGGTTGCAACTTAAAGTAAAAAATTAGGAGTAATTTGTTAAGGTTATACGATTTTGTTTGAATTGGAAGATAACGAAAACAGTATTATAGTTGCAACAAAAGCCCTGCTGTAAAGAAATACACAATGAAGCAGGCTATTATAGCTAATAATCTCCAACGAATAATCCAATTTAGACTGTTAGACGCTATAAGAACGCGGCTGGAAAAGTATTTTCCTTGAGTGGCAGTTGCAGGCATTGTTAAGCTGTTAGTCCGGCTAAGAGGACACGCCACTCAAGTCCAGTTAAGAACGTAATTAAGACACAATGTGGCCACACAATGGAATAGCGAAGTGCACTTCTCACTTTTCAACAAATGCGAGTGGAAAACAAAGAAAAATAATAGAATGGGTGCTCAAGTCTTAATCAGAAAGGAAAAGCAATAAGACAAAAGGGAGGAGGGCTGCCGGACGGGAAAATCTAGGGGGGGAAATAGGGGAGCCACTGGGCCTCTGGGCTTGATTGACATAAGCAGCAACACGAGCTGCAGATTAGCGTTGCTCCTCAAATTGCCAACACTTACACACAAAGGGCGAAGCAGAATAAGCGGCAAACAGATTTATAAGGGGCACAAAAATAGACAATCCCGATTGCATTATGGGCATAAAGCTCAGCAGGTCCGCAGGCATCGTTTCGCCCAGGTATTATCCTTAAACGGCTTCAAGTGTAGACAAACAAATGCGGCGCATAAATTGAGGCAGCCGCCTTTGTCGCTCTGTCGATTATGGCGGAAGCCATAAAAGGTGCAAAAATACCGCTTCGTAAGCTGTTTAGGGCCAGAGACAAAGGCTCCAAAGCAAGGATGAGGAGCAGCAGGAGCAGCAGGAGAAGTAGCAGAATGAGGACCAGGAGCAGAGGCCTCAGCCCGGGCTGGGCATTAATAAAATAAGGATAATTGGCATAAGCATAATCACGTTTAAGCCAACAGCCAACGTGCAGCTGAGACGGCTGAGACAGGAGCTGGAATTAGAAGTACACTTAAAATAACATTTTTTTTATGGTTCTTTTTAATGGGAGGTCATCCACAAAAAAAAAAAAATAATACTTTTTCGTTAATAAAATTCATTTTTCTTTTTAAATGCCTGCATTAAAATTGAAAGTTTAAGAGGTTTCGCAATTTCTATACAATATTTTATACCATCACTTGAGTTACTTTTAAACATGCATACTTTGGTAATTTTTTTATGCATATCTTGTTTTTTTTGTAGTGTACTAGCCAACTATCTATGCAGTCGCTGCTGCCCCTCCTGAAGTGGCTCGTCACTGCTGCCGGGTGCCTTTGTTGCCAAGCCATTTTAATTTGTTCGCCGGGCCAGGCCGACTGCCTTTTGCCACTGCCTTTATCGGCAGTCAACACGCAGCCTTTTCATGGCAAATTATGGCGTTTAGGGGCCGCCGTTGGCCCAACCCGATCTGGTGGCCCATCCTCAGCTGGTTGGTGGCCCAATCCGTCGCCTCATCCTTGCTCCATCGCACTTTCATTTCTCCTTTTGGCCCCGGGACAGAAGCGATGGCAGGCTGTCTGGCTTCCTGGTTGCCTGCTTTCCTTCTTTCCTACTTTCCTGGTTGCCTGGCACTCGTTTCATTTAACGAGTCGCGTCTATGTTTACTTTGCTGCCAGACGAGGATTGCTCGGGGCATCGCGGGATTGGCAGGGATTGCAAAAGGGGCAAGTTCCCTGCGAGTCCTTTGAAGTAATTATAATGGCAGATTTAAGTTAATTTTTAAACAATGTCGCCCTGGCACATGCAACTCGCACTCGCACTTTCCCTCTTCGCCAGCCAGCCACTAATCAAATTTCTCCAGACTTTCGCTCAGTACAATAACTTCTTGAGTGCTCGTAAAGTCACTGACTAGACTGCGATTAAATCATAAAGTTTTTATAAACCTTTAGGGTTGAAGCTCGTAAATTCGAAGAAACTTAATAGAAAATGTATCATTTACCATATTATTTTTAAAAGGGTATTGAAACGCTTTAAATGTTGCAGAAATTTTTGATATTTTATTTCTGATATTTTATTTTCAATTTGCAGAGCATCAACTGCGGCGATATGGACAGCTATCCATTGCTGCAATATCTGGATCTCTCGCATTCCCGAATTGCCCAAGTGGAGGATGATGCTCTGGGACGATTGGAACTCCTCGAATCTCTTTTCCTGGATCACAATCTCCTGATGCGAGTGCCCAGTAGTCTACCACCATCCCTGGAACACCTCTTTCTGCAGCACAACCAAATAATGGACATTCCACCCCAGGCTTTTGTTGGCCTAGTTAATTTGCAAACCCTGGACTTGTCCAGCAATCGATTGATCTTCCTGCCTGGTCTTTCGCTGCCCAAACTGCTCACCCTGAATCTGCAATCATCGGGAGTGGAGAGTGTTAGCCAATCGATAGTGCACACACTTCCGCAGTTGAGGGACCTTTTGCTGGAGGACAATCCCATTAAGTGCAGCGACTTGCTGGGCATTGCCGAGTGGGCCAGTCCTTGCAGGTCAGTGGATGTGGGTCAACCGAATGGAAGGAGCCAAAGTGAGCGGGTGGACCTCAAAACGGAGTATCTGCAGTTCCACAACTTTTATGAGAACTTCAGTCGCCACGAGTGCGGTGGTAGGAAACCGGAAAATGACACAAAGCCGCCAACTTGCAGCCTGACAAGTGCAACACCAGCAACGCCAACAACTCCAGCAACAACAACATTGACAACGTCGCCGAGAACTATGTCAAAAGTTAAAAAGTCAAAAGGAGCCGACACGGCAGCAACATCACTAAAAGCAGCAGCAGCATCTACAGCAAAAACACCAGTGGCACAGCCAACAGACACACGTGCAACACCAGCAACTCAAGAGGAGACGACAACAACAGCAGCAGCAGCAGCAACATCCGCTGAAAAAGCAGCAGTCCCAACAGCAACACCAAGCGAGCCAACAGCAGGAGCAGCAGCAATGCAATCAGCTGGCAACAGCGCTGCCCAGTTAACCACAAAAACTTTGCGGCCGAAAGGAACAACTTCGTTAGAGCAAATACAACTGCAGCAGGGGCAACAAATGCCTGGCATGCCGGCCAAAACAACAGCAATGCCGGCGCAGAAGAACCTGCCAAGTTTCGACCAGACAAAGCCAACAACAGCGGCTTCCATTTTGGCAACGCGAACAGCAGCAGCAGCAACAACAACAACAACAGCAACAGCAAAAGCAGCAGCAGCAACAACAACAGCAATAAATTCCTACAAGCCAACGGACATTAGCGGAGCCACAAAAACAACAGCCGAAACATCGGCGACAGTGGCACTTGCACCACCAGCAATCGGAGTGCCACAAACAATTTTGGCCGGCAAAAAATCTGACAAAATGCCAGCCGATAAAACCCCGGAGACTTTATTAAAATACCCAACAAGCGACACATCCGGTCAAGTGGCAACCGCGCAGCCACACAAGCATGCAACATTGCAGCTGCACGTTAAGGATCGACATCTAATTGGCACACCGTTGCTGATGCACAAGGGCGATGTCCTTTTGGTCGATGCCGAGCAGTTGCTGTTGCCCGGCACGGCCACCGTGGCGGATGCGAATGTGAATGCGAATGCGGATGCGGATGCGGAAGTCTTGGACTCCAGCCAACAACATCAGTCGGCGGAGCTGGAAAAGCTGGAAAAGCAGCAGTCAGCAGCTGATAAGCGACAAGCGGAAACAATAAACGGCGGCACAAAGTCTCCGCCGAAAAGCCACAAAAAGAAGCCATCGCTGAGCATCAAGAAGATGACCTACAGCACCAAACATGCAGTGAAACCCGTGGAGGATGGGGCAACAACCTCGAAGACTCCGCAACATCAGCACAGCAGTGTCAACACCCCGAAGGAAGCTGCTCCCGAGGAACTGAGTACTTTTGCCCAGCTGAAGGCCTATGTGGAACTGAAGAGCGAATCGAAACCGGAGCATCTGATGGATCAGCGGGAGGAGAACCTCCACAACCTGACGGGAAATCATCCAGGGGTTATGTTGCTGGTGGCCTGTGTGTTGTTCATCGTGTTGCTGGCGGGTTTGGCACACGTTTATCGATGTGAATTGCCTTGGCAGAGGAGCAATCGCTCGGGACAACTGCGACCGCATCACCAGAGGCACCTAAATGACACGGATGATGGGAGTAGCTTCCTGCACTATCAGGGATCTATAAACTCCGCGGGGGATCCTGCTCGCCTCCAAAAGTGGCATCACAGCACTCGACGGGAGGCTCCCTACAGCTCTCCTCTGCACAATCTACAAGCTCGCGAGCTGCAGCAGCAACGCTGCCAGCAATTCTACAGCTCCTCACTGGCGGACAAGAGCTCCTCCACCACATCCTCCACCTCCTCGGGCAGCAGCCGCAGTAGTCTGCACTCTCCCAGCAGAGACGACAGCTACTACATAGAGATGGCGCCCAGTAGTCCGCCCGCCACGCTGCCCAATTTACCCATGGAGTTGCTGGGCAGCAGGAGCAATGCCCTCGCCGGAAGTCGAGCGGATCGAGTGGCGGCCACCGATCTGGGCGGTACGACCACAGCGGTACCTTCTCCCTCGGCGACGGCCATCAAGTCGGTGAGCAGCAGGCTGATGGCGCCCAGTTCCAGGCGCTTGGGCATCTGGTGACAAACCGTCTTCGGCCAGCGACAGTACGCGCCCTTTCAGTAGAGTAAAGAGTAAGGTTTAAAGGGGTCCACCGACAATCGCCAGCTGCCAAGTAAATCAAAAGTCACAAAAATGGGGCTAGGAAAAAAATTAGTGAAATTCATCAGTGAAAAATTTGCGAAGTATTCATATTTTTACATTTTAAACTTAACTTTTCCCAAGATCTGCAACTAAGCAATATTTCCAAATTTAATATTGCAGTTGGGCTAAGAGTATTTATGGTTCAGTTTAATATTTAAACAAGAACAAATATTCAAAAGCTTTTTTTCAATTTTCTGTATCTAAGGTGTTCGTGTGATTTGGTGTGGTCGCTTTCCTTAAGATCGACAATCAATATAACCCAAAGGTTACAAACAAACCGAAGTCTCAACTTCTTGAAACTCCCAAAAAGGTTGAAACTGGAAGCTCAATTGCAAAGGGAAACATAAATGCGAGCAGCATTATATATGGGTGATTCCATATCAGATTTACAGTCGATATTGGGAAATTCGATGAGATATTTTTTTCATGCTCTTTATCGAAAATAAATCGACACGTATTTTTTATATGGCTCAGAAAATTTTTTTGACAAAGTTATGATTTTTTGAATTTTTGATGAACTGCCCTTTTTTTGATGACAGTCGCGTTTTCAAGCCCCAATAACTCGAAAACCGTACGTCGCAGAAAAAAAAATCTATAGGAAGTAAAAATTTCATCCTTCCTTCTTCTTTGCAAAACTTTCGTGAAAAAATTTTTTTAAACAATTTTTTTACCACAAAAAGTTCAAATGTTTATAACAAATTCATTTTTCTCCAACTTGGACATTTTTGATTTTTTTTATTTTTTCACAATAAATCCTTCAATTTCTTCTGATGAACATACTAAAATTTCAGAATGGTATCAAAATTAGTTTTTGAGTTATAGAATTTTAAAGATTATCATGCACGGTCCGCGCGCTCGGTCTCAGGGCGTGCGCCGACCAACGACTCTAACGAGCGTCAATTCGCTTCGCGCGCGCATAGTAAGGGTCAATGAAATGAATTTTTAATGCTATTTAATTCCATAACTCAAAAACTAATTTTGATACCATTCTGAAATTTTAGTATGTTCATCAGAAGAAATTGAAGGATTTATTGTGAAAAAATAAAAAAAATCAAAAATGTCCAAGTTGGAGAAAAATGAATTTGTTATAAACATTTGAACTTTTTGTGGTAAAAAATTGTTTAAAAAAATTTTTTCACGAAAGTTTTGCAAAGAAGAAGGAAGGATGAAATTTTTACTTCCTATAGATTTTTTTTCTGCGACGTACGGTTTTCGAGTTATTGGGGCTTGAAAACGCGACTGTCATCAAAAAAAGGGCAGTTCATCAAAAATTCAAAAAATCATAACTTTGTCAAAAAAATTTTCTGAGCCATATAAAAAAATACGTGTCGATTTATTTTCGATAAAGAGCATGAAAAAAAATATCTCATCGAATTTCCCAATATCGACTGTAAATCTGATATGGAATCACCCATATATTACTTCGAGCTGGCTCCTGGCTTGATTTATGATGCCTCGCTGCCCACACGTTGCAGGCCTCTTAGCGTTTCGGTTAGCAGCAACAATTTGTCATAAACTCCCGTTACGTATACGCCACTTGTAACCGGGGCAAGAGCGTAGACAAGCGGGCAAGCCAAATAGCCAACGCCAGCAAAGTTTTTACGAGCCATCCGAAGTCGATGTCCATCTTGTGGCCGTATTTGGGTCAGTTTACTGGCCAAGAGCGCCGTGTGCGGCCCAGTTAACTTTATATAAGTGCCTGTCCGTTTGCCAAGATTAAGTGTTTTGATAGTCATGCATATAAAAATGAAATATCGATCAAGTATTAAATAACAATTTAGTTTATGACGGCCTCGATTCAGTAATCAGAAGTTGTGGCAGCAGATGCTGACCAAGGCGGATAAATCGGAACGAATTGGTTGAGAGTGAATTTAATGTGGGAGTTGTTCAGCAAAACAAGGAAGTAATTTCAGCCAAATTGGTAATCATATGAGAAAATAGTGTGTCATTAAAAGTAATAAAAATAGGATTTGAATTTTGTATATAGTTTTTAGTAGGACTCTAAGTAGTTGTGCCAAGCTTTTCCTAAAGCTATATTGGCAATCTCTAGTTTCCCACTTTCAAGCCCTTCCTCGCTTGCTTTTATTATCCTTTAATCCCCTACTGCTCCTCCATTTTCGATTCCTGACTCGATCTTAACCTACTTTGCCAGCTGCTTCAGATGCCAGAGTTTAAATTGCAATCTAATTAAAGTTTCGCCCCCTTTCCCTTCGACAATCTCCACCCATCCGTTGGATGGGAGAAGTGTTTGCTATCTGCGCTGGCATCTAGCATTCTTCACCCCATTTCAAGATGCTTGGGAAACAGGACCGAAAACACACCCTCTTTCTTCGGAATCGGCCCGCACTTAACCTCATTTTACAAATTGACCAACACAACATATGGTGTAAATCCAGCCAAATGGCCAGACATCTAATCCGCCACGGCAAAAGTGAAATGTTGTAAAACTATTTGGGGGCTATACGTACATGTATCTAACGGACATCAAAATAATGTGGCAGCAAATCAAATTACAACACAAGGGTGGCAAAATGGTTAAGGGAAGGGCCAAGGGAAACGAACACTGAGCATACTATAGAACACAACAATTACATTAAGACACGATAAAAAGTTGTGCAACAATCTTGCGACCCCGACCACTCAACTAAACCGAACTACGCCGAACTGAACTGAAACTGAAGATGCCACCACCTCCTCAGAAAGACGGACCGCAGTCATTGCACAGCTTTTTCAACTTTTTGTGGCTTTGTAATTGGAATACAAGAGAAGGCGCGTGCACACAAGCGGCGACAGCAACAGGAAACAGTCGGGGAAAGTGAAATACAGAGCTAGATTCGGTTAGAAAGCACTCGCAAAAATAATCAAGTTCTATTATTAAACGGGGATTTGAAGCCAGCCGAATGGGAATACTCCCTTCAGTTTCAAATTGGTAAGAGTTTTAAAGAAGAATATACCTATGTATGATTGGGTTTAAAGTGAAACGTCTATAAGTGCTTCTTTCTATATTAAATACTTAAAAAAAGTAATTAAATATTTTATTGTGCATCTTGGCAGGACTTGACATTCAAAATCTAACACGTAACCTATTCAGAAAATTGAAATTTCCCTGGAATTTATATTGAAGTTTCTGCCAGAACATAGTGCCATAATTAAGAGTACAAAGTACTGCCATCTTTTAGTACAATTTCACAAAATTCAAACAATTACCAACTGCTAAGTAAGTCTTCAATCTCAAACAAGAAATTCTATCACCAATTTTCCTCAAGTGCAGATAGATAAAACTTTCTAGGAAAGGGGGTTGAAAGGCGTTCAAGCAGAGTCCGCTTAAGCAATTCAGAAGGATTTATTTTCGGCCACAAAAGCGAAATGCCCGACAAAGCGCTCCGAACAACAATTAAAGTAATGCTGACCAACAACCCACGCCCGATTGGGTGGGATTAGAAGGCAAGTGCGGGGGGCCCTAGTCCAAGTCCGAGTCCTCGTCCGAGTCCTTCGGACCATTTCGAGTGGCGTACGATGCCAGGACGCACAAAATCTTAATTAAGGAACTTCCAAGTGGGCAAGTGTCGAACGGGGCAGTGTGGGGCATTTTTTGAGAGTTTTGCCGGGCAGCAGGAACCTTTTTATTTGTCGGCCTGCCAGCACAGCACAAAATTCGCTTTTCGCCTACAAAAGAAAACCCTGCGGCAGCAGAGTGTGCTGGCTGAAGTGACCCAGAGACTTAGTCCTGCAGCATTGTCAAATTTAATGAAGGTTTCCTTTCGGACTTTTTGCTTATGACACTGGCCAGCTGGCCAAGATTTAGGAAGTTAGAAAGCAGCCATGCCAGGGCGAAGGCATTGGAGTGCCAACTGAAATGAGTTAATTCGATATTTGACACTTTCGGAGCTCGCATTCCACACAATCTCGGTATGTGATGGGATCCAGCAGCCAGCAACCAGGATTCAGGATTCGGGACCCCCGACTTTTGTCTCCCTGCGCAGTTAATAAAGTTGGTCCGGGACAGGACGTAATTATTTGCCTGCTAAATGGCTTTTGGACGACATTTCGGGGCCGTAAATGGGGGCGATTTAGAAAATTATGTGAAAATAAGTTGCCTTTTGTTTGGCCATTGGCCGTTGGCAGTTGGCAGTTGGCGGTTGTTGGGATCGTAAATAACGTTCATAATTGGTCCGGCTCGAAAAGTGGTCGGCGGAATGGGGGTAAATGAAAACAGAACTCGAAATCAACATCTCGGCCGTATGGATAGCAAACAATAATTAAACTTAATTGCGCTGTACATTGAAAAGTCAAACTGTAAATTATAGTTATTAACTTTTACTTGTAGTGAAGTTTACCTAAACTAACATTTAAATTCCGAATATTGCATGTACAATTTCCATAGAATATGTATTTAAAATTTACCAAAACAAAACGATTGAAAGTAAAATAGAACACAGCGACAGCCAGGAAAAAACACAATTCCAGCAACGTTAATATTTGCATTTAATTTGTCGAAAATCAAAAATGCGATAAAAACCCACAATAACAACAAAAACTAATTGCCAAATATTTGACGTACAGTTTGTAGCGTTAGCCATTAAAACCTCTATATGTACGGTTGCAGATACATATATACAGAAACAAAGAAATGACAAAAAAGAGAGATACATTCTAGCGTAAAGCCGAGCAAATAATTATTAAACAAATACTTCTATTTACAAAAACACAGCAAATATTTAGTTAAGCCAAAATGACGCGCAGCATTTTAATTAAACAACGGAAAATCAAGAGCTCTCAGAAACAGATGCGTATTGCAAAAATTCCAATAAGCAAAGGTAAACAAAAGTTGCAGCATAATTTTTCATGTGTATTTGTAAATAGACAAACTTAAATCGAATGTGAAAATGTAGAAAAAACATTGGAAAAACAATGAATATTCAAAACAAAATATATGACAGAGGAGGTGTTCCATATATATACATATATATATATATATATTTATGTTAGATTTAGTGCTGCCAAAATCGTAGCGTAAAGGGTTGATAAAGCAAACTAAAGTATATACAGTGACGAACATAATTATTGGCACAGTTGGCTTGTTCAACTTTGAGGCTCAGTTTCTCCTCTTAAAATGGGGATATTTACATAAAACAAAATTTATTTACATAATATAATTAATTAACAACACAACCCAGTTTATTTTAATATTTTACATCTTATAGTTAATTTTTAAAATTAAAATAACGAAAACAAGTGCCGAATCTTCCTGAACAAAATTATTGGCACACTTGCTTTTAATTTGAAATGTTGGCACAATTTAACCGATTTGGCCAGTTTTTTTTTGTTTAACACATTTATTATTATCCCCTGAGTGGTATGGTATAAC